ATGTCCGTGCCCAGGATTTGAACTGATGAAACCCCGGCCACCGAAGTAGAGTGTGCGAACTTAACCACTGGCCATGGAGCCGGCCTCCCCAGCAGAGAGTTTTGTTGTGATCGCTCACCAGTGTTTTCTCAGCTTCCTGCTAATGCAGTGATGGTCACATTTTCATAACTGCCACTGCGGAGAAGAAGGCAGATTCAAAAAGATCTGGGGGTAAAGCATTCTAGGCAGAAGAAAGAGCAAGTGCAAGCCATCAGGCCAGAACACAAATTTTAGTCATACTCATAATACTGAATATATCATTTTATTGTAACATAGCTCATTTTATTTCAATCTTCATGAACTATCAAGTCACTTATATAATGGACCCATTCGAAACACTATTTAGATCCCAATCCAAAACATAAATTGGCCAGACCCAGATGATTTCCCTCAACGTCTTTCTCATCCTTACCTTTGAATCTGTTTCTTCTTCGGAGCATAATCTGGTTTCACCTCTATGATACCTTCTCTGACTCTGTAATTTAAAAAGTTTTTGCTTACTATCAAATCAACATAAAAATATTATACAAGGAAATATTTTTAAAAAACCATGATCCACGATTCAAATGTTATTTTCTCTGGCAGCTTTACACGGTTAAGATTGTAAACTCTGGACTGTATGTCTGTATGTTCACATCCTGGCTCTGCCACTCACTAACTGTGCGACTTTGGGCAGATTGCTTAGACCTGCTCTGCCTCAGTTTCTTCATCTGTAAAAGAAAGATAACAACTGTACCTACTTCATGCAGTTATTGTGAGAATTAGACGAATTAATCTAATCCACTTAAAACAGAGCCTGGCACCTAGGAACCCACCCCCTCAATAACTGTTCATCATAGTTCTAATTTTCAATCCAATATTTTTTTCCCACATAATTTTTATTTAGTTGTAATCATAGGATGCATTAAAAAACGAAAGTGTTCTACTTTTTTCATTTAATGGTCATAAGCTTTCCTCCACATTTCTATTTTATTAACATAGATAGCATTTTTAATGATAGACTAACATTCCATGCTACTGAGATATCTTACTTAAACATTTCTCTATTATTGGACATTTAATTATTTTATTATTCTAAGTGATAATCTTATAAACATACTTTGCATATGGTGCTTTTTCTTTCTTTTGAGTTATTCATTCAGCAACTGTTCCCGGGAGTGTAATTTTTGATTTTGTGTCCAACAATTAAAACTCTCTCCTTCCTTCTATATAGTTCCAAAGAAGTAACTACCTTCAGTACATGATGGAAAGAGAGGCAGACATTACACCATCACGATGATGTCATCTTCACATAGGAACAGACTCTTGATACAAGACTGACAAGGTCTGCGTTATTATCATCATTGTTGTCATCATTCATTCATTCAACAAACATGTATTATTCACCTATAATGGGCTAGGTCCCCTAGAGTGTGAGAAGCTCCAAATACAAACACCACTTTATTTACAAACCTTTCAGATTGATCCTGTGTGTCTTCTTATGCACAATGTGGAATCTGTATGCAAGTTAAAAAGAGGCATGGGGCCGGCCGGCTGGTGGCATAGTGGCTAAGTTTGCCTGCTCCACTTTGGCACCCTGCCGGTTCAGATCTGGGTGTGGACCTACGCACCGCTCATCAAGCCATGCTGTGGCAGGCGTCCCACATATAAAATAGAGGAAGATGGGCATAGATCTTAGCTCAGGGCCAATATTCCTCAGCAAAAAGAGGACGATTGGCAGTGGATGTTAGCTCAGGGCTAATCTTCCTCAAAAATAAAAAAAAAAGAGAGAGGCAGTTTCTTCTCTCAAGGAACTAAAATTATGTCAATCTGATATTGCTCATCTAAACACACCAATTTTATAGAAGCCATGGGGATATCTTGTAAGAAGGGAGTCCATGTTCCCAAGAAGAATATATAAATGCCTTTTATTCTGTACCTCAATTTTATTAAAATAATGAAGGCAGTCATCGTATTGTTTGAATCTTCTCCTTAGAGCTGAAGGGAGAAATCCTTTTTTTTTCTTTTTTTTTTTTTGAGGAAGATTAGCCCTGAGCTAACATCTACTGCCAATTCTCCTCTTTTTGCTGAGGAAGACTGGCCCTGAGCTAACATCTGTGCCCATCTTCCTCTACTTTGTATGTGGGATGCCTACCACAGCACGGCTTGCCAAGCGGTGCCATGTCTGCACCTGCGGTCTGAACCAGGGAACCCCAGCCTGCCAAAGCAGAAGGTGCACACTTAACTGCTGCGCCACCTGGCTGGTCCCAGGAGAAATCTTTCTAAGTCCACCAACAGATTCCTTTTTTTGATGAGGGCTCAATGTAAAAGTTTTGAGTTATATAGGCCTAAACTTTGTATGCTCTTTTCTATTAAAGCTTTTGAACTTTTCACATAAGAAATAATGAGGGGGGGGGCTGGCCTGGTGGTGCAGTGGTTAAGTGCCCACAATCCACTTCGGTGGCCCAGGGTTTGCCAGTTCGGATCCTGGGTGCAGACGTGGCACAGCTTGGCAAGCCATTCTGTGGTAGGCGTCCCATGTATAAAGTAGAGGAAGATGGGCACAGACGTTAGCTCAGGGCCAGTCTTCCTCAGCAAAAAGAGGAGGATTGGCAGCAATTAACTCAGGGCTAATCTTCCTCAAAAAAAAAAAAATAATAATAATAATGAGGGGCTGGCCCCGTGGCCCAGTGGTTAAGTTCGCGTGCTCCACTTCAGCGGCCCAGGGTTTTGCTGGTTCGGATCCTGGGCACGGACATGGCACCGCTCATCAAGCCATGCTGAGGCGGCATCCCACATGCCACAACTACAAGGACCCACAACTAAAATATACAACTATGTACTGGGGGGATTTGGGGAGAAAAAGCAGAAAAAAAAATTGGCAACAGTTGTTAGCTCAGGTGCCAATCTTTAAAAAAAAAAAAGAAATAATGAGATTTAACTTTTTTTTTAGCCTACCACATCCTGAGTTCAGTTTGACACTTTTTCATTGATGTAGTTGAAGTTCTCTGATAGTCTCACTCTCTTTCTCTCTTCTCAACACCCTCATGAAAACAATTATCAATTTATCATGCTTTGGGATGACACACCTGTGGGCACCACCTACTTAACCTATGTGATAATATAATACAAGCTTTCTTCAGGAAGTAGTATAATGTTATGGAAACCACCCCCATTATCAATGATAAGGACTTCTATTGATCTAGCTGTTCTGTTTACAGGTCAGTCCTCTGGTTTTCTTGAGACCATTTTCCTCTCTTTTAACCTTAAACTTTGTGAAGGGATTAGAGAGGGTGTGGGTTTGCTGCCCTTTCAATCAAACTTCATAAACTTTGAGAGCCTCCTTTCCGCTAAGTCAGAAATATGAGCCACCAGAGTCACCCAGCTGGAACAGACCGAGGGAGTTGGAAACCATTTCTTTTAATCACCACAATATCACTTAATCCCCTAGGACAGAGGCTCTTACTTTTTTGGGATCAGTCCATTTGATGAAGATTTCAAGTCCTCTCACTTACATGTATACATACTTGAGCATTTTTTTTGGGGAGAAAACCAACTTTTTTATTTTTTTACCATAATTCCATAACTACAACTCTCCCTCTCCTTCACACACATTTTCTTTTGGCATAGAATTTCAGAAGTTTCCTGGCCTCTGCTCCCTCAAAAACACCTGCCCTGGGGGAAACTATGTTAATTAGTCCACACAAGGATCTGAACTGGATAACAGACAGAAGAGAGTGGAGCTGGGAGGGGACAGTAGGTCACAAAAGAGAAATTTTACTAGATTCATTCATCTTGACTCAAATCCATGCCTTCTTCCCATCCCCACCACGTGCCCTTTTCCTAGTTAATTGTATGACTTTAGGCAAGTCAGTAAACCATTATGATCATTAGATTTTTTTTTTCCCTGTAAAATGGACTCTTGTCCAGCTTCTTCTCAGTGTTATTGCATGATCAAAGGACAGACAATATAGAAAGGCATATTTTTAAGTCCTAAAGAAGCATGAAGCATGATAATTATTAATGCACTTGCCATTCCTTCAGCTTCATCTTCAGCTTGACTGCCTCTGCTATTCTTCAGCCTTCAGCTCCACCATCACTTTCTCAGAGAAGCCTCCAGAACCACTACATCTAAAATGGCCTCTCCCTCCCCATCACTCCCAATTCCATCACTCTGCTTTATTTCAGTCAAGACACTTCTCACACGTGCATGGCTTCATTTTTTTTTTTTTTGAGATTAGCCCTGAGCTAACATCCGATGCCAATCGTGGGATGCCTACCACAGCATGGCTTTCCAAGCGTGCCATGTCCACACCGGGGATCCCAACCGGCAAACCCCCGGCCACCACCGAAGCAGAACATGCGAACTTAACCGCTGGGCCACCTGGCCGGCCGCACGCATGGCTTCACTTTTTACTTTCCTACTGATTACTTATTGTCCTTCTCCCCCGACTAGACTAAAAGCTGTTGAGGGCAGAGTCCTAGTCTTGTATTCCCCAGGCCCGCAGCAGTTCATGGGACATGACGGACTCCCAAATTTTGGTAAGTCAAGATAGCAGTGGTTTAGAGCCCAGGTTCTGGAAGAGGACTACCTGGATTTGAACCCTAGTCTTTCAACCTACTGGTTAGGTGACATTAGGCAGGTTATTTAACTTCTCCATGGCTCACTTTCACCACATATAAAATGGGGGATTGTGATAACATATACCTCATAGAAATGTTAACACATATCAAGTTCCTAGAACAGTGCCTGGCACATAGACTTATATAAGTGCAGTTTTCAGTTCTTCAATGAATAAGCAGGCGTTACTATATTAAGAGTGAGGACACGTGACCCTATAAGTGTATCCGATTTGCTCCACTGCCTCAGGTTGGACAGTAAACACTTATTCTTTTGGTAAAACTCATTGCTTCGCTCCATGGCACCGCGTCACCTGCCTGGCCTGCCACCACTTAGCGGAAGGGGAGGTGCGGCCCCTAATTCCGACAAAGTCCCCAGTCACCCACAGGCGGCACTGCTCGGGGTTCTGCGGCGGCCGGGACGTCCGAGCCCTCGAGGGGCGGTGCTCCTGGCGTAGGAAGGCCGAGCCTAGGGAGGTCCAGCGCCACGTCCTGGAATACAAGGGACACTCCTGCGACTTCCCAGAAACTCCGGGTGGGTCGCGGGAGCGGGGACGCACCGCCCACCGCCCGGCTTCTGGTCTCTGAGCCCGGGCCAGGGCCGTGGGAACCGGTCGGGGCGGGGCAGGGCGAGCGGGGCCGCGGCGGGGCGGGGCGGGGCGAGCGGGGGCGGGACCTGCGGGGGCGGGGCTGGCGGGGGCGGGCCGGAGCGAGAGGGGGCGGGGCCGGCGGGCGTCAGGCTCGGGACTCCGCGGCGCCGGCGGCGGGGCACACTGTCCCGGGCTCCGCGCAGCCGGCGTGCTCCAGCCAGGTAAGGACGCCGTGGGCCGGCAGGGGCGGCCTCGAGACGGCGGGATCCGGGCGGGGAAGGGTCAGGACTGGGATGCGCACGGCCAGACGTGCGTCCCGCAAGCTCACAAACTGACCCTCGTGGAACGAGGAAGGATTTTTTACTCTTCGCACCACCGTGAGCGCGGGGCGTCGCGCCAGTTGAGGGATCCCGTCCCCTTCGGTCCGGGAAGAACAGACAGGTGCGCGTCCCAGCGGAGCCGTGCCTTCCGGGCGGCCGCTGGCTCTCCGCCTCCCGGGCTCCGGCGCTGGGCTCTGCCGAGGAACCCGCCTCTTTTCCCCTTGGGTCCCTGGGCCGAGGCCGCCCTGCGGCAAGTTCAGCGTTGGGTTCACTTTCCAGCTGCGAGGCAAGGTTGATTCCTCCTCTTTGCTTGGGCAGTAGCGCAGTCTTGATTGCAAGTTGGCAAAGTGGACGGAAACATTCCACAATTGCGCGTGTCCGAGCGCCTCACCCCACCAACCTCACATTTTTTTTTTTTAATCTGGGAAATTGTGTTTGAATCTTGAAAACAGCGATTTGCTGAATGCATGTATTGCAAAAACTAGAGCCTTGACCCGGGAGTGTGCACTTTTCCTCGGTTCCTAAGTGTCCTTTTGATGTGATTTTTACTTTTCATGGAAGAATAACATGTTGCTGTGCACCGGGTACGGAAACAGGCTCATCTGTTGCCATTCTTTGGAAACTGGAATATTTGATTAGAAGGGTTGATCTCAGTGTTAACTTGGAACAACAGGATGGCTGGTGGCTAAGTGGTTTGAAGGTTATCCAAAATAGTTAAGCGTTTTGAGCATATACTGTGTATTTTTCCAGTGAGTGCCCATTTTCCTCTTAGGAAATTCTGAGCATTTACTCTCTTTTGCATGATTCTGCCCTAAGGAGGTGGGGAGAAAAAAAACAACCCCAACAAACCAATGGGTTTCCCAAATAAGCTTAGGATTTAACAGGTTGGTTTGTGACACTGGTAGCTCCTTAGTTGGCAAGAGTCACGTGTTATAGAATGTCATGATTTATATGGAGAAAAGTGTGTAATTTTCTCAATATATCTTTGAAAGTATTTTGGGGTGTAGTTACATTTTCAGTGTTTAGGAAAGACCTATAATTTCCCCATAGCCCAATTCATCTGATCAATATGTTACTACTCTTGCCAACTCATCTTGCTTCCTTCAGCATGTTTATGTTAACGATCTTGATCCTTCCCACAAGGATGTGTACATTTTGGCTTGGGGAACTGTATAGGGCAAGTGTTGTAACGTAAATCATGCAAATCAGTGCTGTGCTCTAGTTGTCAATACCTTTGCTCCACATAGTTCCGTGAACTAAAATTTTCACATATTCCCAAATAGGAAGGAATCTAGAATATTAATGTCTGCTCTGTCACTTTCAACCTGTTTATGTACTTATTCTGTATTGAGATCAAGATAGTCATCATGTTTTCTCAGCAGCTTGTTGCTCAAGGGCAGCGACTATGTTTTATCAAATCATGGTAAAGGTCAGAGAATGGAGACCTTTGCTCCCTGAGGTTGACCCTTGACGGGGTGGTTGGAAGGGTTGTGGGCAGTGTCTGGCCACTTTTCTGCTTGGGGAAGAATTGTTGGTCTCCTTGTCTTCCTCTGGGTGTCTGGAGTTTTGGGAGCCTGGGCCTTGGGCCTCCAAGCACACCTCTGCCTACAGGTTCCTCCAGGTTGATCAGGCTGGTGCCTCCCATCCCCTTCCCAGCTTTTCCAGCTCCTTAGCCTCCACCCTACTCCACCTCTCTCTGGATTCCCACCCCTAGGGAGAATTATTGTTTAGGGCAGGGAGACTTGGTCCACATAGTTGACAGGGGTGTGGACCCTCAGCCTAGTGCTGGGTTCCCCGTGGATGCTCAGTATCTCAGCATTGGATGCTCAGTATCATCAAATATCTGTTGATGACAGTATCATCTGTTTCAGATACTGTGCTCTCTTATCCAGGCTACACAGGCAAAGTGGAGTGACTGAGGTTGAACCCAGATCAACTGCTTTGGGGCCAGCTGCCTTGGTTGGATTAGGGTCATAAACTGGGCATGGGAACCTGTTAGAAAGGAGTGAAATTGGCCCATGGTCACTGGCAATTGTAAAATTACCCTGCACCTTGTGATTATGCCATGAGAATAGCTTTGTTGAAAAGATCCCCAGAGGAGAGGGCCTTAGTAGTTGCCTCCACCTCCCAGCTCACCTGCACCTCCCAGCTCGCCTCCACCTGGGCTTGCTTTTATTCTCTGCCTTAGCTCAACTAGTCCTTCCTTGGACTGGATTCTGTTAACTTTCCCACCACGTTTGACTGCTCAGAGCTCAGATGACCACAGCTACTGTGGTCTGCATGTAGAAAATTACATTTTCTTTTGTTTAGGCTAAACAAGGGTGGAATTTTTCCAAACAAATTGTTATTAGGAAAACAAAGAAAAAGCAAATAATGGGAAAATGTGTGTGTGTGTGGGTTGAAGCCAGTGTTTTGTTTTAATTTTTAGTTTTAAACTTTTATCCAAGTTACATTTCTCCCTCTCCAGCAACAGCCACTCATGATTCTTTGAGCTGGTCATTTTGATACTTATTGCTTGTGGTTGAGTGTTTCCGTTTGAAGCGTTACCTGTTGACTTCCCATTGTGGAAGATGATGAGTTGGCTCTCTTTTTTCCTCTAACCCACAACACAACCACAGCTTCCTTCTTTTCCCATCCTTGCGTTAGTTAAACAGTAGTTTTGGTTAGATCAATATTCGTAGCTAAGCCAAGTACAATGTTTTGTTTTCCTTGGACTTAATAATTGCTTGCTTTGTTCATTTGCTTAGTTTTTTATGTTCTCATCATTAATTCAATCCTAAACTCTTGGCTGGTTTTCTAAATCTTCCCTCAGATGCATCGGATAGTCTATCAGTTTCATTTTCGAGAAGAACCTGTCCCTGAGCCTACTGGCTTGCTCTAATCTGGCCTGGTTGCCCTCTACACATGGGGCACGTTGTCACCCTGAGGACTTCCCTTCGGCATCATCCTGAGGGTCCCCATCATCTGTCTTCTGTGTTTGATCTCTGTTGCCTGTGGCCCATCTTCCTCCATCTTGGTGGGCTCCTTTGTTTTGGTAGAGCACATTCTCAAGGAGCTCCCTGGCGAAGATGCAAGGGATGTCTATTTTTTGAGACAATAAATGCCTGAAACTATCTTTTTTCCACTGAAAATTGATAGTTTAGACTCTAGGATGGAAATTTTGAAAGCATTGTTCCATCACCTCCTAGCTTGTGGCTGTTAAACTTCTCCCAACCCGTGAGAAGTTCAGAACTGTTCTGATTCCTCAATTTTTGCCTGTAACAAATGTATAGGTTACAAAAATCCTGAAATTTCCTGATGCCGTGTCTTGGTATGGGTCTGCTTTCATCCATTGTGCTAGGCTCTTTGAATCCAGAAACTTACATCCTCCAGTTTGGGAAATTTTCTTAAATTATCTCACTGGTAATTTCCTCCTTTATTTTCTGTGACGTCTCTTTCAGAAACTCTTATTGTTCAGATATTAAGTATTTTTGACTGAGCCTCTAATTTTCTTAACTTTTCTTTCCTAATATCTATCTTTTTATTTCTTGGTTCTACTTTTGGGGGAGATTTTCTCAATTTTATCATCCTTCCACTGAGTTTTTCATGACTTAGTATTTTAAGTCAAAAGCTCCTTTTTTTATTCACATGTATCAGTGTGTGTGGTGTGTGTGCATCTATTTCTTTCTTGCTTTTGTTTTATGTTTTCAGTGTCTGCTCTTATCTCCCTGCAGAGCTTAATGATTTTCTGTATGGAAGTTTGTTCCTTCCTGCACAGACTCAGCTTCCCCAGGTTGCCTCTGTCTGTTCAATTGTTTAGGTCTCTACCTTTCATGTTAGCGGCTTTTCTCATTTTTCTAATACCTTGGTTGTCTGCCCATGCTTGAGTGGGCGATTCAAAAGCTGAAGAGATGATGTGCTTGTCGACTGGGAACTGGGCTTTAGGGTGACCTGGCTGTCTTTATTTGGGGAACCTCTGATGTCATTCCATCTTGAGCTGGTGAGAGCCCTTGAAAGGCTCTTCCAGTCATTTCCTGGACGGCAGGGGAGAAGCTGGCTGCCAGTGATGGCAATGAGGTGGAGAAGAGGGCTGGAAGTCTTAGCTCCCGCATCTTCATATTCCCCTCCACGGTGTTCCCAGGAAAACACCAGAGCTGTGCCTGATGTATCCCAATCCAGAAACCCTCTCTTTTTTACCCTCTCTCGGGGAGAAGGTGGGGAAGAAACTCCAGGGGTTCTTGCTGGGGTAGGTAGGGGGCAATCAGCTATCTGCTCAGAGTGGCTGAAGGGATCTGGGAGGTCCAGCTGCTTTTTAAAGAGGCTTTCAATCCACTTTATTTTAGCCTACCCCTCTCCCTGTAGAGGGTCCCAATGCCTTTGATTATTGAGCATTTTGGAGATTCTGTGGTATAGATCAGGTTGTTTCTTGGCTTCACCTCACCCACCAAAATGTTTTTACTGTTGTCTCTTCTCTCATTCTCCCCATCCTTGTGGATTTATACATTAAAGAAAAAAAAATTCCTTTATTGGACTTTCAGGAGGGAGAGAAAGTAGAGGGTTTCATTCAATCTGCCATTGGTGCCTGGAATATAGATTTCTTTCATTCTTTCTTATTTTGTGAGGAGGATTGGCCCTGAGCTAATATC